TACAGTAGTCTGTTTTATCATTATGATGAAAAACATACCAAAATTTTAAATATAAATTAATCTCTTCATGGGACCTTTGACTTCTGATGCAAAAGCTGGTTTTGAAACAGATGTTTCTTCAAAGCTCTACAATAAAGTAAATGCATGTGATATTTAAGTGATATTTTGTCACTGCACCTTCATCATTTTGTTTAGGGACTGAGAGACTAGATGCAGACTCTTCAGTGCCCCAAGGAAACTGCTCAGTATGCACAGGTTTGAGTCACATGATTCCTATTAATTTTAATGGGAGTTACATGGATAAATCTGTGTGCTGAAATTCATGAGAAGTTAATTCAACTGAATTTACTGTTCCCAACTTTGCTCTCTGAACCTTTATGCCTGGCTACCTGCACCTCTCCAAAGAACCTGGCAGGAAGAAGAGAATGGAGCAGTATAAAGTGATTAAACCAAAGGCATTCAGAATTTAAGAGGTCTATGGTATGTGTTCAAAGTGGGAAATAAGTAATCAATATAAAATAGGAGCAAATGTAATTTTGAAATTATAGTCTCCCTAAAACCTCCTTTGAAAACATAATCTCCTTAATCATAGTGTTCTGCAAACGATACATAACTTATTTTTTAATTGTGTAAAAAATATATATTCTTATTGAAGTTTGACACTGCAGTGAAGTATATCAAATGGACTCTCATTGTTACAATAAAAATAGAAGTTGCACTTAGAGTTTAATTTAAGTTTATAAAAATACTTGCTGGATTTCTGAGAATTTCAAACTGAAATTAATTCAAGATGAACCCATTTGGTATGTCTAAACAGTGTGAGGGAAGGAAAAAAAAAACCAACAAAGAAATAGGAACATAATTAGGACATATGAAAAAATTAAGATATATGAAAAGAATTGGTTAAGTGCTTAGCTTTGGATTCAGTTCCTGCCACCCTCATCTCTATAGAAATCAGTGGAACTAAACTTGGTTATGAAAAAAAGCAAGCTATAGTATGAAAAAAATATCAAAATATTTTTTTTATTTTACATCTTAGCCTAAGACGAACAGCCTAAACTGAACATCTAATACACTTTGACAGTTGTTCAGCACTGCCAAATATACCATCCAAGTGCGCTTTTTTGGCAGCTTGTATTTATTGGATAGGTAGCTATTTGAGTTGATTAGCTACAAACATTTCATGAAAAAGAAATAGTTGCTCATTCACTATGAATACATGTAGTTTTCTTCACCACTTGCTGACTGAGCTTCGCTTGTGGTCTGATGGATGAAGTCATATCAGTGGTTCATATTCTTGTTTTAATTTACAACACTGGGAGGAGTAAGAGCAAAAATCTGCTACAGCTTGCCCTTGCTCTGTTGCCCTGCTCTCGAGGACAGAGGGTAGAGAATCCCTCTAGGATTTAGTCACCAGTAGACTCTCTTGGAGAGTTAGGAAAGGAGGAGACAGCAGTGATACCCAATACACTGAATACAAACAGTTGGCAAACATCTTAAGAACTGGTGCCAAGTCATGTGAGTAAACCTGAACCTAGATCAGAACTTAGCAGAGACTGAGAAATGGGCTGGTTTTTTAAATATCTCTCCCCAAGCAACATATAGAAATGGAGCTCATCAGAGCTTTTTCCTGATTTTTTAATCCAGTAGAACTGAATGTGAACTTGTGGAGAACTCTTTGACTGCTGGGCATCTCCAAGAAGTCGAAATTACAAGTGACATAACTTTTTACTGGAGCAGTTAAAAGATCATGGTCCTGATTTTCATACTAACACTGGGACCATAACTGTTTTACTGGTTTCTTTTCCAGCTCACTAATATTCCCAGGTAGTGTTCTGATCTGGAATATAGTTAGAACATGGTCATGGCCTGGAAGTAATGAGAAGGAAGTAGAGAATTACTTGGCTCCCAGCACCTAGCTAATGAGTTCATCCTTCCAAAAACCTTTCTCTTTACAGGGGGAAATTTAGTTTTATTATTGCCCCTTTTGCTTCTTCAGGATACATACTTGGAAGGGCTCCCATTTCAACTCTTCTGGCTGTCCTCCATGCTTCTTAAAAGTAATAATTACAGATCTAGTTCTCCTCTGAATACCACCTGAGTGTAAATAGCTTGATACATACATTGTTTTCTTGAGATCCCATCTGATATTTGACACAACAGCATAGAGTATCATTACTTCACATGAAAGGTTATTGAAAACAAGTGGCAGAGACCTGAGGACACAAGTGCTATGAACTCAGAAAAAATACCAGTTACATAGATTTAGAGGCATGGGCACCATCACAGTAACAACCACAGTGAAAGAATTATTGCAATTCACATTCGAAGAAAGAGCATACTCACAAATACACATATATACATATATATACATACAGTAGATTGCATCAGACATGTAGAAGAAAACCAAACTTATCAAACTCTAGAGCCCTTTAATGCCATGTGAAAAATGTGGCTTGGTATAAAGTTTGTCCTCATTGTGTGCCAAAAACCCACAGTTCCTTAGAAAAGCTATCTTCATTTCTGTATTTTCAGAGAATTCCTTTCAGATAAATATTTAATAGTACAGACTTTGCTATATTTAACAGATTAAAACGTGCAGAACTTGCTGAGGGAGATTTCATAGAATAAGATCAAATAATAGAAAATATCGATGTGTGTCATGCATACATGTGTTTAATTCAGGACCTGTTGAAGGAAAGAGATACGTAGGGAACAAAACAAGGTATCCTTGATATTTAACAATACATTTGCTCTCAGAAGGGTGCTTTGAAGATATTAGAATTAACCCTTAACACAAAATAAAATTTTGCAAGTAGTGGGAGCTCTGAAAATGTGTATATACACATTTTGTAATAAAGTTTGGGAAGATGGTACATAACTTGAAGCAAACATGAAGAAGCAACCTGAGTATAAAAAGAATTCAAAGGTACAAACAGTTGAGTATCAGCAAAAAAATACAGATTACAAAGATTAAAAAGAACTGGGAAGAGGAGATTACAAGAAAGAACATGATTTAACCTGTGTTGTTGTACCACAGAATACTCTGACCTGATCAATCGTGGTTGGATTTTTAACAGACCAATTTTTATAAATTACTCAAAACAACTCTTCTAAAGTGAGGACATTTTAGCACAAAGTCTGTCTACCAGTTCCTCCTTTCACTTTCCCTGCCTAGTGGAAAGTGCTGCATGCCTCCTCTCCAGACCTACAGCAACAACTTGCAAATGTTTATGCACAGGCAGTCGGATACTGTAACTGGGATTGTTAAAATGGAAAAACTTAGCTTATGTGGCAGTTGATATGGTATCCAGCTACTGCACAAGCAAGTCATTAGCACTGTGTTTTAACAAAATGAGATTGTAATTAGGTGCCTTTGATTCTAAAGACAGAATGAGTTGCACATTTCTGGCTGCCGTTCCCAAAGTATGACATCAGAGTAATCAGCCATAGACTGTCATTCTCTGCTCACCCCACATTTTTACTCCATTAGTAACTCACAACTAATCCCTGGGCAAGATGAGATTCTCAGTCATCAGTGAGCAATAAATATATCTGCCAGGGTTGATAAGATTTCTCAGACACGTATAGTACTTTTTGTTTTGTTCCTGTTTTTCAATTTCACAAGCTGTCTCTGTGTTGAAGTGGGGTCTGGATCACTGTTGACTTGAGGCTGCTTTGCCTCAGTAGGAATTAACAGTGTTCCTTTGTACTGGCTGTCTTGAATGGAATAGGACCATCAGAATAACCTTCTTTCTCTCCAGGGAAGACTGTCTGGAGTATCCCCTGAACCCCAACTCCCACTAATTGCAGACAAGTAGAGGAACTCACTTTCCTACCCTGGGCCATGGCTGGGGTAGCCCAGCTGAGGGACTGGGAAATCCTACAGTCCTGCAGTTTAGTTTAGTTACCTGTACTCTTTCTCCTGGGATCTGAGCACAGTCTTGCTGACCCATTTGCTACACCAAGAAGTCTGCTTAGAACAATTACAGAATGGGAATCTGGAACTACACATCTCAAAATGGAGATTAATGACTACATTCACCAGCTATTCCCCAAAATATGTGGTTAACAGAGGACATCACAAATGATGTGTGAAATGAGACACCTTTGCAGATTGGCAGTGCACAAAGAGGATAAAGAGAATGACATGTAATTATTACTGTGCTATTAGCTGTGATATTCAACTTACACAAAGACAGAAAATTCCAATAAATCCAAAAGCCTTAGATTTACTTAAAAAGGAATAAACTGCTTGGAAACTTTGTTCTGACAAATTTCACCAGAACCTTCTTCTGGAAGGGAAAAGGGTCCAAAGAAAGAAAGGGAGAAATTTTAAATTACTCTCCTCCTTTTAAAGTTCACCCCTTTCTTTTTCTTTACTTGGAAAAATGCAAACACCTTTCTGGCACATTAACCCAATTCATTAAATACTGGGTAGTGGGAAGGAGGGAAGCTATGACACCAGTAAAGTTTTGGGAGGACTGTGGATGTACCTCTATCTGTCAACATATCAGACGCAGTGCCGTCACTTTTACAGACAGAAATGAATACAAGGTGTTCCATGCCAAAGCGTGGATTAAGATTTAGAATTTAATTTTATGAATTTTGGTTTTGTGGCAAATTACAAAAAATACATTACCCAATCTGAGAGTTAAACTATTAGCAAAACATCTTAAAAGCAACTGAAGAAAGTGCATACACCAGTGTCTGCCATTAGTTCTGTAAACTTCCCAGAGGTGGTGTCAACAAATTCAGAAAGCCCTTACACATTTTAAGACAGACATGTCAGGCAAATCAGAATCCCTCCGATTCTGAAACATGAACAGTATTATTTATATATGAAATATTTTGAAGTGGTGAAATAAAGTTACATGTGCAAGAAAATTGAAGAATATTAATCCTGAGTGTTTTGTCTGCTCCGTGGTATACAGATTTTTTTCACCTGTCCATGGGATGTTTATCTTCTCTTTGTTTAATCAATAAATACATAATGAAAGTTTGTAAATACTGCATGATAACTTTATTAAGAAAATAAAAGATCTGCTACATAGCATCAATGTACACAATTTCAACTAAGAGCTGGCCAGCAGATCACCAAAAGATATATTAAAAGAAATTTAATATTGAATTGTTTCTAATGGTATCTAGCAGGCATCAGTACTAGGCCCAATGGTAGTCAGTATTCCCAGCAGCGATCCAGAGGTGCAAATGCAAATTGCCATGCTAAGGATCTGAAGATGATAGAAAGATTACTTGGTTAGTACATAATTATGAGACCAAAGAAGAGGAGATCTCTTTACAAGCTAGACCCAATGCAAAAATGAGCATTTTAGAAGAGATGAATGCACAGTTAAACATAATACAAATGGAATTCACCCCCAAAAAAAGGGGGTACAGTGATTTGGAATGCCTTGACTCTGCAAGGGTTTATGGGCTGTAGTGGACCAACATGAGTTCCCACTGTGAAGTTGCATGAACAGAGCTAACGTAATCCTTGAATCCTGATGCAACGGTTGGAATAATTCCCACAGATCTGTTGTCCATATTTTAATGAGAATGGTGGGAAAAAAATGGAGAGTTCACAAAATTGCATTTAAAATTAATTTGAGAGCAGAAGAAAATTATTTGCTGTGAAAAGATAAACTCGATCTCTCCTCAAAAAGGAGGGCTGAGCATTAGTTGATTAAAGTTTATAGATCACGGGAGAAAACCTTCATATGCAGACTCTTTATTCTGAAGGGAGAATAATGTAACAACCATCCCCCAAAATTAAAAAAACCCCCAACATTCTGGAAGTTGAACACTGAAAAATCAAGAATAAAACACTTTTCTACTAATGAAAATGAATGTTGAAATAAATTCCCTAAAAACAATGAATTCTGCCTATTGGCATATTTTCAAATCATGGTACCAGTTAAAATTTCACCATAAATTATCTTTTCCTTAGTTAAATAACAATTTTATTGGACTTGACACCAAATAAATGAAATTGATAAAATTTAAGGGTCTTCAACATACCCACAAACTAGCTGAGGTTGGATTTCAGAAATCCAAAAGAGAATAGAAAAAGGAAGAAATAAAATAGTGAGAAATTAGAATGATCTCTTCAAAATTACATTGTCTGAAGATCTGTGGCCTGATTTGGGGCTTTTGTTATAATTCTATGTGAAGATCTCTGGTTCAAGACCATATGCTCTACTGTGATATGTATTGCATAACTATGGAAAATGTCTTTATGTAGGTATTTTTCATTCACATAAAATTGTCTGTAAGAATTTATATCCCAGCTGGTATGATGTTATACAGAAACAATATCATGTGTTGTTCTGCAAGTTGTGCATATGTTTGGTTTCTGAGGCCAAAAATCAGGATGTGGTTTGAAGAAAAGTGGGAGGAGTCAACTAGTAAAAGTGTTATACCATATGACAACTTCAAAAAAAAAAATAAAAAGAGCATATCAGTTGGGAAAATATATAACAGAAGCAGAGACTGCCTCTACTGCAATAACTCGTGATCTGCTGTGCACATGTGCACATTCACATACCACTGAAGTTTTAAAAGAATAGTTTTGCAACCTGTTGTTTACATAGTCTGAGTGTCCATAACCATGCAGCAAAGCCACTTTTTTCTGATGTAATCTCACATATTGTACCAGTATAAATCCCTCTGAATTTTAGTGTATTAGAGGTAAACCAAATTATTAAGACTACAAAATGGCTTCCATGTATAGGACAGGAGACAAAGTGGTCATTTCACACTACAGAGGGGTACATTTGTAGGCTTGCTGTTGATTTAGAGTGGCTCCTGAGTAATTCTCTGCTAGTCACCTTAGTGGATTTTAAAGGTCTCAGAATGATAGGACTCATGATTTGGAAAGTGACCAGCCTGTAAATGGTTTAACATACCTCTTCCTTAGGTGAGTCATGTATCTCCTTAAGTCTGAAAATGTTTTACTGCTGGACCTAATATGACCAACTGGAAACATTTTTTGATCACTAAATTAACATACATACTAGGTCTCCTGAGGATTTAACTTGGGCTACAGATTCCCAGTGGAGTGAAATTAAACAGCTTCAATCTCAGCAAGAACACATAATACACAAATTTAAAAAAAAAAAGTAAATAGCTTAAAAAGCAGTTTATATATGTCTACTCTTGATATATAAACCAGTTGAAATAGTAGGAAATATAGGCTTCTTGGGGAAATCACTGCATTTGTAGCTCCCTATCTGTTTTCTTCATTAATTTTTTGAAGTGTGTTGAAATTTTCAGGCTCCATATGGACACATTTAGTCACATATTATTTGTGTTTTCTACATATTTTCTATTATGTTCAATCAAGTTTTCAGTAATTATTTTTTTAATTTGTTGGGTTTTGACTGTATGATTAGTGAAAATAAATAAGTAATCACCAGATGGAATGAAATTCTGCTTCTTGAATTTATGCAAGTACTGCAATTAAAGTAACTTTAAATAACAACATACACAAATTAGTCATTTTCACAACTAAAACATAAGCCCAAGAGATGCCCCTATATATTTAAATCACTCTGAGTTTAATTAAAGACAGATAACAAATGAAAGACTATTATCAAAGGTTAATCTCTATTTTAATCTTTAATTTACCAACAAGTATAACACATCTGTTTTTATCATATAGTAATTAAGGTTTCTTGTTTTGCAGTAGAGCAAAATCTCTTTGTTGGCATCTTGTGAGAGTGTGTCAGTGATATGACAATCATTTCAAACATATGCTCTTCAGCCTGTGAGCTGGTACCTACCTCTGGCAAAACTGCAGGTAGCAGACACTATTGTCACTTCACTGATAATCTAAAAAGAAAAATTCCTGATTTGCATTCCTAATTTTGATGTTCTGATAAAACATTTTAGTTCTGGATTTGACTGGTTAATCATCTTTCCTACCCTAAATGCTGAAAGTTTAAACAGGAATCAAATTATTGGGTTTTATGTCTCCAGTCTTATAAACTGGGACCCTTGCTCCAGGCCAGAACATATTTCAAGACTGGTTGCAGGAGCATAAAGCTACACTCTGCGTCAAGCTTAGGATACGTGAGAAGAGAAATCTTCTTCACAGTCCCCTTGCATAGCTTTGTGGTGACAACCAGCCACTCACCTTGCTGGCACATCCTTTCACACATCCTAGGACAGCCCTTGGATCTGGCGATGTCACACATCTTAGGACAGCCCTTAGATTTCCTGTTTCTAAAACACACAGGGTAAGCAATCCAGGCTGTTGGCAGACCCAACAGCACAGTCTTAAGCAAGGCTAAAGGCTGGCAACATGGAGCAGGAGCCAGGAGACACACTATCCTGAGCATACACCTTGCCTCTTGTCAAAGTAGACATGATCAGTACTGCCAGTATAATCTGTGGAAAGACTGTTTGCTTGTTGCATTTTACATTTATATAGGTTTTCTACAAATTCCACTAATTTCCTTTCCTGTAGCATGTACAACCATACGGCAAGAGTTCTGCCACCAAAATTCTCTACAAGACATTCACAACCATCCAAGTCTTTTTTTTTTCTGCCTTGTTTTTTCAAGACATACTAATGAAATCAGCCTGCTTATCTAATGGGAAAGCTATAGCATTTAAGATGTTAGCTAGACAATGATGTCCCTGAAAGTTTAGTGGTTGAAATACAAAACATGGGCCATGCTAATGTCAAGTACATTTTTGTGAGGATAACAGAATTCTGATGATAATGGGATCTTCTAAAGAAGGCTTTTTTATTCAGAGCAACCTTAATTTCTATCAATCTCCAGAGACCTGCATGCTTCAGAGATGATGCCAAAAATCAGTCTATTAAACAGCTTTAAAAAAAAATAACAAAACCAAAAAACGCCCCACCTAAACTTTGGCTACAATGCCTTAGGGAACCCATTCTTTCAGGATCTGTAGCCGAAACTTTTATTTTAAAATAAAAGGTCCAACAGGCAGTTTTACATACACTATGAAACACTTTTCTCTTGCTGTGAAACTTCTAGAGACTGCACAACACTAGACAGAAGTGGGCATTATTATCTTCTATTTGCAGATACGACAACTAAGACAGATTAAATGCCCAACACACTTCTGCAGTAGCAGCAAAGAACAGACCCTGGAATGATTCTTTCAAGCAACCCTAAACACTGTGTCTAACAACTCTGCCTGAACTCTACCTGAAGATTTTCTTCACTGTGAAATGACTTTTTTTTTTTTCCAGTTCCAATATTTTTTTAAGAAAATGAAACAATTTCTCTAGATTTTTGTTTTAATGTTATCCTTATTATTTCTGAGATCTTCTTGTAGTTTGGAAAAATAGTAACTTTCCAGGCTACTTGAATAACCTTGATGTCTTAGTGTTTCCTCTGTGAATGGAAAAAAAAAAGTTGTTACTTGTGCTCCCCCTTAACATCTACATTTCCACACTTGGTACATAGATTCTTAAAGATGAAAATAAATTTCTGGAAAATGTAGTAATTGTCATTAAATTCAAGGGTCTGATTCAGGAAAACATGTCTAAAACGGGAAAGGAAAAAAAAACCAAAGTCCAGTGCAATATTAGAACACATAGTTAAACATCTGTCTATTTTCATAACCAAAAGGATATATAAATACTGACGTGGAAGTGTGATAAAACAGTAAAATTCATTGCATGAATCAATAATTTTCCTTAAAAAATAGTCTGAAGTCCTAAAGAATTAAACGATATTCTCCTTCAGTTTATAACAATCTTAAGGAGGATCAAAGATTTGTCTTGCAAGCTCTGACTGTCCCTTTAAGCTATCATTCATTGTAAGGAATGACAGAAACATTCCATCTTCCAGGTTCCTCTGGTAGGACAAATTCAGATAACACAATGAAATAGAATTTAAACAAATTTAAAACAGTTAGATTTTTCTGCCCCAAACCATGTCCCATTTCTTTTAGAGCTTTTGGAAGCCTTAATGGCTTATAGCAGCGGGCAACAAAGAGTGACCTCTGAACAGTGGGTTCTGGGATTTAGACATGTGAATAATTTTTTGTCTTCAAACTTGAAAATGAAGGCTAGAGTTTGCTCTGCCACCACTCATGGGGCTTTGTCTGATGACACGATGTTGAAGTTTTGAGCAAAATGGAAATGTCAGTTGCCAGAAGCATAACTGTGAGCCAATCCTGGTAAGTGAGGTCTCTCATCCTGTTGCAGGTCACCATCTCCCTTCTGTACCTTGCCTGGTGGCAGGGGCTGCTTCAATGCTGTGTTAGTGCTCTGACAAATCTCGAGCTGGCAAAGCGACTTGGAAGGTTTGTTCACATGATTACAGGTAAGAGAAGCTTTGAAGTACACAGGCTGTTAAATTCCAGTGAATACGTTACTGCATATTTTAGAAAGAGCTCCTTACCACATGGTTCACAATTACTGTGTCCATTTCAGCATTAAAAAGATACCTAGGAAAAGAAAACATGTGTATAAGTACAAAAAAAAATCAGAATACAGCACTTAGACTGAATAATTAGTACCATTTTATGTTATGCAACCATGATGCATCAATGATGACGGAAGCTGCAAATTCATGTTTATTTACAAGGATGCATTTCTTAAGTCACCATTTAAAATGGATTTATATGGGAGGGCTCAATAATCAAAAGGCAAAAATGTGTTGTACTACATGGACATGCTGAAGATACAAGTTAAATGGCCAAGACCATTCTTCAACTCCCTGGGCAAAAAGGCAGTATGATGGTTATTTAGGCAAAACAAAGAAAGAACTATCCTACTCTCTCTGTATCTTTCATTTTAAATATCAGTAAAAGTACCAGTTAGTCTAAAAAAACAAAGTTAACAAATTCACCAAGCTCTTAACACAGTAAAATTTTGCATTATGAGTTTACATAACTAATGTAAACTAACATAACTAACATAGGTCTGCTTCATAATGCTGATTTCAGAAGAAATACTACCAGAAAGCATGTTTTATACCAAAATGTAACATTTTCTCACCTCATCTTTACCAGTGAGGACACTTCCTTCTGCTTCACATGGTTCTACTTCCTCTCAAGTTTCATCATGTTCTTACATAATTATCAGACTACTGAAAAATATTTTAATACAAATAATCCAGCTTCCTTTTCCATTAGTTTGCTTAATTGTTTAAGCAGAAATATAGCCCAAAACATTTTGCTCTCCTCAGGCATGTAATAGCTACACCCAAAAATGAGCTTCATATAGCTTCCTGTTCTAACACAGTTGCACCACGAAGTTTACATAACATCTACAACTAAAAATTTGTATCATGATTCTGCAGTAAGCACTGTATTTTGTATTTTTGCGTTGGCATGAGGCATTACTTCATATAAGCATAGCTTGACTATACTTTCTGCCCATAACTGCTAGCTACCAAAGGAAGCAGTTTCAGTCTGTTCTAGCTAAATGTCACACCCCAGGTGGAGGTTACTGCTTCTCCAGAGCTGCCAGCGAACCTGCTCATGAAGCCATTTCCTAACTCAATTTGATGAGGCTGTACCCGACTAATTTAAATAGCAACTCGGCAAAGGGACCAGGGGTTCTTCTGGGAATGTAAAATCTGGTACCAAGGAAAGTGTTCATAAGCTTAAGGGAAGATGAAAATTGTAGTCATAACTACCACAGATACAGTTAGAAGAAAACATACTATCAAGACTCGAATTAAACTCAGTTATGTTTTGCTTTCATAGGACTGTTTCACCAATCGATGATTTTATTTTGCAAAGTGACTAACGTCACTAAGGTAATCCCCAACTAGTAGTAAGAACTTTACAGGGAGACTTAATACAGTGTATAAGTGACTTAAGATCTGAATATGCCTCAGGATGATTTCCACCATGACTATTTGAAAAGAATAACCCAAAGAAATTCACTAAAAAGTCCATTCTTTAAACATTCCCCAAGGAATTTCTGTCAGCAAAACACGGAGAACGTTAAGTAATAATAGCAAAAATTCTATAAAACAAGAAAGAAACTCCTATTCTATGGTTTTCTCTACCTGAGCTGGATAGACTTCAACTCATAATTGAAAGGTTTATTTTTTCAAAATTGAATATGTGAAACTCTTAAGAGTAGTATTAAAATACCTTACAGGCCTAACGTTCTCCTCCTTTTGTTTTTATCACTCACTGGAATAATATTCCATGTTGGTCTGTTTATTCCCTAATGGACCGACCAGGAAAAAATAAGTTTACAGTGAATCCATTTTTTTTTTTTACTTTGTTTGTTTGTTTGTTTGGGGTTTTTTGTTTTCCTTGGAGTTATCCTGTATATTGCTATCTATCCGGACCTGGCACACTTTTATTTAGTACTCTCTGTACCTTATTCACATCTGTCAACAAAAAATGCACATCGCAGTCACACACCAAGGCACAAGTCACAAAACTCACAGAAAAAGTAAAAGAAATGATATTTATATGTCATTTCAATAGTCAGGGGAGAAGAAGTGTCCCAGTCCCTCTTTCTAAAAATAATGCTTCATACAGGTGTCATCTCTGTATTTCATTGGAGTTATCAAAAGAAAAAAAGTTGTCATTTATGGAAGTTGCTTCCTGCTATTGAAATAAAATGATGTGCTTTAAATCATAGTTCAGTTCTTCCATACCTTTCTTCTATGAAAATCACTCATACATGTAGGGAAATGGGAAAAACCCAGTTTTATTAACCCACCATCAACCCATTTATTCTACACAAATAACACACATAAACTCTCTTCTGGTCATCTCTTCCTATTAAAAATGGCCTGAAAATATCTACAGTGTCTTAAAAAAAGTGCAACCAAACAAAGAAAAAGAGCAAAAAAGAACAAAAACAGCTACTCCTGCCACCCATAGCAATGACGAGCTGATAAATAACTTCACTGTATTGTCTTGTCAGGCATATCTAATGGAGATAAAGAAGTCTCTAATTAGGGCATTAATTCCACACTGCACTGCAGTTGCAATGCAACCTCCCTTTCACTGACAGGTGCAATATGTGGGTGCAAATTTCTTGGCATCAGCAATCTACTCTTTTGCATTTACATTGCTAAGCAACATCATTACTTTGATTGACTTATGTACAGTACTACACTTTCACCTCTCAGATACATAAAGAAAAGATTGATTCCAATTTCAGTGCCACTGTTTTAAACAGATGTAATTCCAATGAATTAGGTGCACTTACTCCTAATTTACAGTCATGGAAGAAAAATAATTTTCTTGATTACCGTACTGTGTAGAAAGCTCTAACTCTTTTGGACAGAATAAACTTATACTGGTCTAAAACTCGTGTGACAGTCAGGGGCATAGTTACATGTATTTTTCCATAAGAAGATGGCAGCTGCCCTCAAAGTGTAATGTGAGTTAACTAGGAAAAGGTGATTGACTGATGCTGAGGTTAATTGCTTGTTGGCATGCTAGAAAGACTATGCTAACAAGTGCTGCTTATAACTAACAAGTGCCAATTATTTCCTTATATTCTAGTATACATTATATTATGCTAGGTGTTATCCAAACATCCAGAAAAATCCAGGCATCCCTGCCCAGGTCTGATAAGTTAATGATTTAAGAAAACTATGCAAGTTACTGATGAAAACAGGTCAGTGCGTGTTGCTTATCACAGATGTACAACTCTTCATATAATGCTATAACACAGAAAGCTTTTGTTCAAGTTATCAATGCACTGAACATATATTCATAATGAAAGTGTAAATAGTTGTCTGATTATAAATTTTGTTTTCTCTGTTGCTGACCAAAAGTTTACACTAGCAGGTAGTGCTTATTATGTCTTATTAGAAGCCAGTGGAATATTTAAAAGGGCTGATATTTTAGTCCTGTTTCCACATCTACTGTGGACAAAAATTTTTATATACAATTGGTGACCAACTGTACGTACAAGCCTGACAAAACCTCCCACCTAATAGGTAGATTATTATGTAAAATATTGCCTAATATTTGTATAATGCATTCACCTGGCTTGAAAATATGCTGACAGAACTAAAATGCATAACGTGATCCATTGTTAAATTGATATTAAATTCATAATTTTGTTCCTGAAACATCAGTAAATACCAATTTTAATTGCATTAATAAAATATGAATTATGAAAGTAGAATTGTAGTGACTAATACAGATTTTCACTATGATAATAACGATTTAAAATAAGATTAAAAAGTAACAGCTCCTAAAGAAAGAGGAAGTTAGTGTATCGAAAATAATAATGCAAAGCCAGCCTGCCCCCTGCCCCCTCCTCCTAGACAAGCCATCTACCTTGTATCAGTCAGAATAAAACAGGGAAAGTTGACCTGAGTAGAAACCTTACCAGTCTTTCAGGCTTTCTTTGCAAGAAATATTACAGTGCTTGGTAAAACTTCATGTTTATCTGTTACTCCTTGCCTAATTTCAAACTAAACATATGTAATGGCATCGCAATGTAGTAGCAAAGTTGAAAGCCTTTGGAAATGCATTAATTGTGAATGTTGGGAATTTTAACTTAAGATGCAGAATGAGTCAAATATGCTGGTAATCTGTTGGAAAAGGTAAAAAGTGCCTAAGCTGCGGTTTGACCTCTCTGGTCCTGCAGTGCAGAGCACATTTCAGCATACTTGTATCCCAAGAATTCAAAAGAATGAAACAAAACTTCTCTAACCATATGGCTTGTTCAATAGGCATGGGCACTCAGCACAGGGTTGGGCGAGATGACCATAAAAATGAAAATATTTAAGAAAAGCTAAAACCATTAAAATTACATTTACAGATATTGCTTTGGTATTCCTAGACTGTTATAGAATAGATATGTACATTTCTGTACCCATCAAACACTTAATAAAAGATAGCTCCTCTAGGCAATTTGCAAACTATAGTTTCATCTAGATATATGTCAGTGTAAATCAGGAACCTTCAGTTCTCAGTTTTTCTAAACAAGTATGCCATAATCTTTCCTAGCCCTGTTTCCGTCAGACACTCATAAATCTACCACGTTGCTCTGTCTCCTCAGAATGCAGTCAAATTCACAAATATTTTAAAGGTATAGTGAAATACACATATAGCAAGTCTATCATCCTAGAAGGAGTGTAATTTCCTTCACCTGAAGTATATATTTCATTTTAACACATCTTTAATAGACACCAACTAATCATGTTTAAAGGCTACCTCTTTATCCATAAACTGCTCTTTTCGCTGACCTTAATATATAAGGTGAAGATAGGCAATTGTTCGGTATAAATGCTTACATATATGATTCTGATTTTAGTATAACTAAGGTAGAACTTGTTGGGCTGGACATGGCTAAATTTTCTTAATTTTCAAGTGCCATTGTTGAATATATATTTTTTTGTTTGAAATCACCTAATACCCTCAGAAATACCAATGACCCTAGATTCAATGTCTTCCTTTTTTTTATATCCTGTGTTTTGTAAAAGGATAAAAACTTAATGACACTTGTAATTTCAGATCTTTTAAGAATAAAGTACTATGTGAAATTTATAATATAAAAATTTCCTTTTCCTGGAAATACAGTTTTGTATTTATTGAATGCGTTCACAGGCTCCCTTAGGATGTGAAATGTATGGAAATATATGTGCATTACTAAGGAAAGAACTAAATTTATTCTTTCCCCACATCATGCTCTTCTTTGCAGTAGAGGTTTTTAATTCAACACAGAGCTAGAATGAGATGGAGCCAATTTCCTGGTCTATATGTGTGACAAATGCTAAAAGTGGCACGAGATTAACAAATTAGTTTATGTATATATCTTTAAAGATTTTTGACCATGTCCCAAATCAAAATGCATGCTTATTTGAAATGAAGATTTCTTTAGAGTTAAGTATTAAACAGGAACCTTATAAATTCTTGTAATTTTAGGATAGAATGATGCTATGTATGACAACTAAAGAATAGCAAACCTGAAAAAAAAAATGTGTAAGAAGGTTTTTATGGTACATCACTCTAATAATAACAACTTTTATTGGCATAAATTATATATTTAATGATAAAATCTGATATTTTAATAAGGAATTTGCTTTGAAAAAGTTAATTATTTCAGAACACAGGTATTTCTCTTAAGCATGAATATTGACACTGTATTAAC